CCCAGGTAGCTGACTTCGGTACATGCAGTGATTTATTATATACAGTGATCAAGGGAGTGACAATACACAGAGGGAAATAGTACGGAGTCCTGTCGAGGAGTAGTAGCCGGGTGTTTGACCAACCGCAGGAGGTGAGGAGATGGAGAGATGGGCCGAGCTGCGTAGGCTGGGTCACTCCTGGGCTGGTCGGTGGCGATGGTGGCTACTGAAGGTAGAGACAGAGAGATGAAGGCAATAGTGGAACAGATAGGTGACTGAGCAATGACCTGCCTGGGAGGGGAGAGTGGAGCCACGGTCTGGAGGAACAGTCCATGGGGGGAACACAAAACAGTAGCTGGCTAGGGGATAAATACATACAAAACAATGAAAACGCACAGAGTAAAGTTGGCCTAGTGACTAGAACGAACTGGCAAGTGACTGAGGAGTGAAACCGGGTAATATAGTGAGTAACCTAATCAAGTATTCCGACAAAATGTAGCTAGCTAATGAAATGCTTCTTGGCCTTGGAAGAAACACTGAGGTAACACTGGCTTAGATTACTACTGTCAGCTAGGTACTGTAGCTTTGCATCTTTCATTAGTCAAACACACAGTTTAATTAATTCCTTACACTGTTGCTCTTGTGTTTGTGGTTGTAGAAAGGCAAAGACTGTTATCTATGACTAAGATTGAAAGGATAAAGATTAAAGAGAAATGAGAAGGATAAATCCTGAGGGAAAGCTAATCAGAAAGAGATATCGATGGAAGGAGGGGAGAAAGCTAGAAAAGAAGAACAAGCTGGAATGAAACTTTAAGCCTAAAATAACAATCTAAGTAATTTTGCTCATGTATGATTTCACAGCAGACTAAAAAACCCATCTACATTAACAAATTTGTGTCAACTATGTATTCTGTAATTTATTCCAAAGAAAGACCATCACTTTGCCTTCAACCATTTTCATGCATTTTTGGTGTCTTATCAGCTTCGTGATTAATTTAAACTGAAAATGAAATGAAATTTAACATATCAGCACCACCAACATGCATTTATCTAAACCTAATAATCTATACAACCTAGAGCTGCAAATGGTTACAAAATGAAAATACTCAAGTACAGTACTTGAGTACGCATTCAGTACTTAGTTACTTTCCACCACTGGATGACATTTTTCACAATTTTCTGACATTTTATAAATCTAATGACAAATCAAATCATCAAGAACTTTTTAATACATAATAAGAATAATCATTAGTTGCTGCCCTACAACAGTAGCAGCTTTAATACAACGATATCTGTATCAGTCTTTAAAAACTGAGTGGAAACTAGATTTGCAGTTGATTTTATGCAACTACTTCATCACTGTGGCTCAAGTGGGAGGAGAAGGGTGGCTAGATTGCACTAAGACGTGCCACATGCAAACACCAAGTCCCTTATAATACATCTGTCTTCCCGCGGCATCCCCAAAGAGAGAATGTCAACATAAATATAATGAGAAGAAAAATTAGAGGTTAGAGATAAAGATGGAAAGAGAGATGTGTGTGATAGAGGAAGAAGGGATAATTAGTCGACAGAGAGGGTACAGTAAGACAGGAGGAGTGGGAGGCAAAAAATCAGAAGCAGCAAGTGATTAGCTTGGTTCAACACAAACACACACACACACACACACACACACACATATATATATATATTTACAGAAGGCGGGATAAAACAATGATGACTAAGACAGAATCTGCGTCATTGGTAACAAGAGAACAGATGAGGAAGATGAGGTGAATTCAAACACTCATCCTCACAGGAGTGAGAAAAAAAAAACAACCAGGCAAACTACAATGTCACAAAATCTCAAAATACTGTATCTAAAAATGTCTGTACTAGTGGATAAATACTTTCCAAGAACGACTACTAGTCACAGTGGTATTGTGATGAAGGAATGTGTCGAGTGCAACGCTGATGTTTTTAATACATTAGTTTTTGGACAACAATGGAGCTCTTTTGTACAGAGCAATAAGACACAGGCAATGTCTGTAAATAGAAAGAATTCTCATTTGGTTTTGGTCTTTTTATGGGATCAGCTGATGCTTTCCCCTGTAAGTGCATCAGAAGCAGTCATTTAAAGATTAGTAACTTTGTCTTATGTGAAACATACCAGATCCCACAACCATAACACCAACTGCCAGTTCTAAAGTGCTGAAGAGAAAAGTGACCAGACCTCAGCTGTATTTGTAAGAATCACTCAGACTTCTCTTCAAAATGGCCCCTTGGCGTTTTGCATTGCGAGGTTTTGATTTGTCTCCGAGGGACATGTCATAGTTGCCATGGAGACACTAATCACGCTGACAGGTGAGACCAGTCCCCTTCTGTCAAGATGATGAGTGCAGCTGAGTGTGTGTGAGAGTGCATTCGTGTGTGCACGCATGTGTCAAGATGCACTTTAGGCTAACAGACATACAGTCTGGACATACACATCAGTATGGATTTATTATACCTCTGTATACATAGTGTTCTTAAAGGGAAACATCTGCCCTTTAAGAATTCAGATCAATTCCCTCCAGTGATGGAGCTCAAGGGCACTTTTACAGGACATGTTGCTGACTCCATCCAATTTGTCACAGCCTCCGTATAACCTGAACAGATACAGTATGTGTCAAGGCACCAAATATCTGCTCTTTGCTCAGGTGAGGATGGAACAGCATCAAATGTGATAGGGTTAGAAAATGGTGTTGCTTATTATGTGGCCCTAAAGCTTTATGATGGCATGGCCCCATACCCCTCTATGGGGACAAATAATAGGTCGTGCATCATTTAAGTTGGATACTGAGCTCCAGAGGAATGCTCACCCATTCTTTAGCACACTATTTGTGTCGCTAACTTGAAACATTACTTGATAGCATCTTACATTACAGAGGGTAACAGACCGCTAATATCTTGGGGCAAACACATTTCAGAGGTCTGGTAATATTTTGAGATTACTGGTAAGGATGTGTATCTGTGTTAGAATAAGAATGAGGAATAAAAGGAGGGTAAGAGATCTGGATCTCATAATTATGAGATCTTTTCTCATATTTATGAAATAATGCAGGGGGTTGCAACGCTGCAGAACATGCCTGAAAATCATCATGGTTTAATGAATTCTTTACGATTAAAGTAATTCAGTGACACTTGTCAGTACATCCAGTTGTACATAGAAATGTTAACTGCTAATAGCTAATTCGGCGTACTTAGTGTTCTAAAATGTAAAGTAATGTAGGCTAGAAATGGAGGGTAGCAACTGTTGTTAATATGCCAAGGCCCTTCAGTAATGACATGGTAATGATCGACTATCATCAAGCTAATTTGCTCTTATTGTGGTACAATCTAGTTTACTTTGCTATTACTGAGCTGTGATGTATAGTTCTACCATTGTTAACATTTTTTTTATTTAGCACATACCAAACT